AACTAGAACAATATACTGTAGACGAAATAAAGGGGTCAGTTTGAAATTCCAACATATATCACCTAAAGTAGGCTGGAGCATACAATGACTGAAACATCATAAATATGACAATATAGAGAAGGATAACAGTCTGAACAATGTAAATAGTGTAAATAGTTACAATACGTCATCTCAGAAATATAGACAGATGTTGAAGTTCTTTGTGTCTGAATAAAGATTATCTCATCTTAAAATGGCTACTTAGTTAAATTTAGCAACATTTTTTAGCTAAATTTCTTTTGTTTTTTTTGTTTTTTATTTGAGATTAAAGTAAAGGAACATGATCATAACAACAATTAATCTTGTGTTATAAATGTCTGGAAACACTGTCAAAATTTTTTTCTTAATATTTTCTGTTCGACAAGCATAAATATAAGAACCATAGTCAAAAGCAGTATCTCAGCAATTCTGAACATCTGAAGAAAATAATTTTCATTCAGTGTCAACAATACTGATTGTTTTATTGCAAGAGTGGCTGCATCTGAGTAATAATCAAAAGAAAAAACTGACCACATCAGAAAGAAACCACAATTTTTTTTTTGGATAAGATAAAAGCAAAATGGCCTGCCCAAGGCTAAGTTTATTATCTTGTTTTTTTTCTTGAGATATTTGAGACATATATCAACATCTTATCTATATCTGTCCTCTTTTTGCACCCATTGCTCAATACAAATACTGGGATCACTGTAACAGATAAAAAAATAAATTAAGAAAATAATTCAGTTTTGTATATAAAAAAAATGAAAAAAACTTTATTTCCTGTCATCAAAAGTGTTGTTTTTACGCTAAAAGAAAATCAAGATGTTATGGCAACTTAATATTCAAAAAAAACAAAATGAATATAACTGAATTTCTGAAGTAAGGTTTTATTACTATTCAATCTTCTTCTGTGTGCTCTGTCCCTCCAAGATGTAGGCTATTGTGGCTCTCCACAACTTTCTATCTCAAGTGGCTATTAGCAGTTTTTCACTCTTTGCTAAGGCTAACCTGTTCAGACATCCGTTCACACAAGCTTGTCAGATACTATTCAATAAGTTTTCAGAGCTTACATTCTCATTTTTGCTGAAGTTGAATAGTGAGCATATCTTTTGGAGTTATATTAAATCAGCAAATATGCAAATGCTAGTCCTAGGGAACAATTAAAAATTGAAATCTCTTAAAAATGAATTGGTTTGTGTGATATGAAAAGGATAAGAAGTCAGATCTAGTACGGGACAATTTGATAAAAATAACAAAAAGAAGCAACAACTATCCTTTGACTTCTTTTTATGAAAATGACTGATGGTCAAAAGTATTTAAAATTTTGGCAAGTTTCTTTACAAATTTCTACACCATGAGAAACTCACCAAGTAGTTTCTCTGTTCTTTTAAAAATATATATATATATATATATATATATATATATATATATATGTGTACAAATAAGAGAAATAACATTTAGTGTAAAAATCAACAGTTCGTAGCAAAAAAATTTTTTTTTAAATTTGTTTCTGCTAACTTTATGCCTGATTAATCTCCCTCACTACTTCAGCAAATCAGAACATCATACTTGGTGACATCCATAATAAGCCACCTTCCTCCACCCCCAAACTTATTTTTTTATTTTAGCATAGATCTGACTTTTAATTGGTTAATAGAGACATACCCACTAATATATTTGCAATTCTGACCTTATGACCCACCCCGCTTAACTTCCAAAATGAGGCAACAATTTGTTTTTAAATTTCTCAAATAAATCATTTTTATCACAAGATACTAACCATCACATGAGGAAGTACAATCATAGTACTGAAACATGAAAGCTTTTGTGTAGTGATGTAAAATGTTTTTATTATAATCTCTTATAATATATATATATATATATATATATATATAAATGAAGATAAAAGTCAACACTTAGAGGTGACAGTCTGTTTCATGCTAGACACATTTGTCAGGCCTGACAATTGCATCTAGCATGAAACAGAGTTTTGCCTCTAAATGTTGACTTCTATGTTCACTTTTATATTTACACATGCTCTATCTCTGATATTGAGCACTTTATCCCATAAATATACCACATCTTAGACTATATTTCTTTATATATATATATATATATATATATATATATATATATATGTGTGTGTGTGTGTGTGTGTGTGTGTGTGTTTTTTTTGAAGATGACTGGTAAGGCACAGTAATTAAGCTTTTTATGGAATTTTTATGAAGATTTGTTTTTAAATTTCTCAAATAAATCATTTTATCACAAGTAACCAATCATAAGCTGAGGAAGTACAATCATAGTATTGAAACATGAAAACTTTTGTGTAGTGATGTAGAATGTTTTTATTATAATCCTTATAAGAAAGATATATATATATATATATATATATATATATATATATATATACAATTTCCATTGAAGATGTCTGATAAGGCACTGTGATTAAACTTTTTATGAAATTTTTCTTGCATTCAAAAGGATGAAATATTTTGGCTAATATTAGTTGTTTCTTTTCTGGACAGAAAGTGTGTAAAAAATGTCCAAATGATCATGGGTCCAAGCACTTTTGGATAATCTATTAGGCCTTATCAAGGATTTTCTTTGTGTTTAAGTGAACATGTCATTTTTTTTAAATGTATATATAGAAATGGGAATGTTTTTTAACTTCTGGACATGGTCAGCATAATTTATATTATTGAGAGCTATTGAAAGGTGGCTACGCTAGAAAAACCTCAAAAAGTTTAAATAAAAATTACATGCTGGTGCAAAGGTCTCTTGAACCCCCATCCCTGAATCTAATATATATAGAAAATTTATAATTTTCTTTATTTAATATATTTTGCTTGTGGTGGGCTTTTGTCTGTTTTTCAACTTTTGTTTTTGTAATGTCCATACAAAAAATGATTAAAAAATAACAAAAACAATATGGTCTCTATTCTGAAATTACACCATAATACTGTAAGTTATTTCGACCAAGTGGGTTGGTTAAGCTTGTGTTGTCAAAGTTCCTAGTTGTATCTTTTTGAGACAAAGTTTCAGACCAAAGTGCAAGACATGGATGGTAAGGCAAAGGAGACTAATATTAATACATTGTAAAAAAAAAAAAAAATCACAGATTTGGATGAAAAACAAGATCTCAGAATGATGTCAAAATCTGCAAGAAATTTTAATCTGTGATGGTCAGTTATGTTTACTTTAATTTGTAATGTATATAAATGCAGGTAAAAAAAATTGCAGATAAGATACTGAGTTATAAAGCACTGTCTGGGCCCCCCAGTAAGACTTGCCCCCTCCAGTCAGGGATTTGGGGTAATATGTGCCAGCCCTGATTATGTTAACACAAAAGAGATATTTTACAAAACAACACATCAAACACATTAGTTGCTCAATGTAAGCACAGTTTTGACATATTCAATAAACATAATTAACATTAGAACATATAAAATTCAACATGAAAAGACGATGGACATAAGAGCACAACTAATCCAAACAGATAACTGAAATTTTTATAAAAGATCAGCGTTCCGTTTAAATATGAATATGTCCTGATGATGGTCCAAAATTGACCAAAACGTCCGACGTTGACTTTATATTAACATTAATCCAGCATAATTGCATATTAAGATTTTTGTTTGTTTTTTCTGTCTTTTTTTTATACTGTCGGATCTATATCCATATATTTGCTTATATATATATATACTCACACATTTATGTATGTAAATATATATATTTATGTCTTAATTTACTATTTTTTCTTACATTTTTATATTTTTTCACCCTACCAGCTCATTTCTCACAGATGAGACATCTTATTCCTCTGTCACTATTTCCATGGAAAGTCTTCTGATGAATTACACTCCTGAATTCCAACAGTCCTAACTTTCAGGGCAAAGACCTTTTCATGCCATGCACATTGTAACAAATTACCTTCATTCCTTTTGCATTCCCTTTATAAGATGAAGTTCTACTCAAGCAGCTTCTTCCCATGAACTACTGTCATGTGTAACTGACTCCCAAGTCGTTGCTTCCTTGATTGCTACAATCTTAATCTCTTCACGATTAGGGTTAACCATTATCTTCCACACATATCAGCATAAGCTGTGCTTCTTACTCTGTAACCTTCTAACTTGAGTGGCCAGGGAGAACATCATTGTAAAAAAAAAAAAAGAAAAAAAGAAGTACAATAGTTACTACAAGTATGGTTTAGTCTGGCACAAGGTCATAGTACTAGAGCATCCATGAGTATCAAATACATTACACTGATGAGCACAACTAGCTTCTTAACTATGACATCATGCTTGTTGTTGTAACATTGTGGCTGCATTATACACACTGTATATAGAAAAGTATAGTTATTGATATTTATTTTTTAATATCCGATATATAAAGATTGGGATGGGTAGTAAAAAGATATAACATCAAAAGAGACATGATATTGTCAAGTTATTGAGTGATGGGGATATAGCATTAGCAACTGTGAACAAATTATAACAGAGATCAGTGAACAATGCAAAAAAGAACGTGAAAATATTGGGAAGACGAGAACAAGAAAAAAGTGGCTTCAAGAATATCACACAAAGAAATTGAGAAAAATTAAAAAGCTAATAAACAAGAAAAGTCGATGGACCAGACAGAAGATATTGAAAGAAGATGATATTGTGAATGTAAACAGAAAAAAATGATGGAGAATATTATGTTTGACTGACTGATTCATTTTTTTTATGGCTTATCAACTTTTTGCAGCTTATGTAAAGACAGAAAATATTTTTAAATTATGAGAATTTTTTGGAGATAATAATGATCTACTGATACAACACCTACAAATTAACCTATAACTGGAAGGTGAAAAGGTGGATTCATACCTTTCTCAAGGATATTTACATGTAAGTAAATATAACGAATCTAACTGGAATTGAAACTTAGCTCTCTGATGTCAAATTCTGAGCTATTATCTATTACACCACCCACATGTCCACATTTACAGCACCTGCTATTCCTAAGTAGTCAACCATTTAGATACTGACCAGGCTCAATGTTGCTTAACTTTGGTGATCAGATGAGAATCAGTGTTTCAATGTAATATGTCCATCAGCAAGAATATTGAGAATAATGGGTAAAATCATGAAAGCTATAAAATTAATGCCTTTAAGTAAACCTTACATTTAAATTGCACTTAGAATACATGGAAATTTTTCAACAGTAATTTTTACTGGTGAATGTAGAACTACATTAGATAGAGCAGAAAATTAGGCTAGTGTTTAGGTTCTTCATATAAACTGGCAACCAACATAAATGTGAAGACAACAGAAATTAAGTTAAGTAAAGTTTGGGACTAGTGTCGGATGCACCACATTATGATTAGCTCTCTTCAGATTTGATAATGATATCAATATATGTGCAGAGAATAAATTCTTGGTCAAGAGGCTTTTAAAGCAATCCAAATAAAAAAATTTACTAAAGAATTGAATCATGTAGAGCAGTGCTCTTTCATGTTCTGAAAAACTAACTATAGCTTACCTCATCAAAAATAATTCAAAGACACTAAATTTATAAAATATCCCTACCAACTCACAGTTCATTAATAAAAGAGATGTATATGAAAGAAAAGTTAAAATCATGGTTGAAAAATTGTTGATGGTTATAGAATGTCAAGCAACTCATATTAACTGGTAAAATAATTTATTCTGTTAAATGGAATATTGTGTTAATCAAATATAGGTTTCTGTGACTTATATCTTCTATATTTATGAATAAAAAATAAAACTTGACAAAGCAAGATATGCAATGTGATCAGTCCCGACTTGGGGTCTCAACACCAGTCACTTTCTCATCAATGTAATGTGGCTTCCCTCTGTCTTTTCTATAAATATTTTCATGGCATCTGCTCTGAGGAGTTATTTTCATTGGTGCCCCAACTGCATGAATTTAAGCATGCTACTAGGTTGGCATCTCACTCCCACCCTTGTACTGTTGAAACGTAACCATCTCTTCTTCTTCCAACAGCTTCTTTTCTTGCACTTCCCAACAATGAAACTCCCTTCCTCTTACTTGCTTCCCTGATAACTATAATCTTCAAAAATTTAAATGTAATGTCAACTGACATCTTCTGTTGCCTTGATCTCTGTTTTTCTTATCTTTTCCTCAACACCCAGTCTTTTCTCTTAGTTATACTCTCTGTAGCCCCCTTGCTTGCATACAAGTGGCACTCCGCCTTTCTTGAAGTGAAATGCTTAATATATATATATATATATATATATATATATATATATATATATATATATATATACGTACCAAAATGATGGAAATATATAAAAAATAAATATACAAAATATGAATAAAAAATTGCTTAACAAAAACTTTCATTCATTTCATTGCAAACTATATATATATATATATGTGTATGTATGTGTGTGTGTGTGTGTTTTTGTGTGTGTGTACATGTTTGTGTGTACACATGTGTATGTGGACACATTTTTGTGTGTGTTTGTAAGATTGTATGGTACTGGCACAACTGAAAAAGCCATTTCCAGATGTTTCTGAACAGTACTTGTAGTTTGTATAATATTTTTTGTATTTAAATTCTGAAAGTGTTTTTGATTAAAATAAAAAAAAGCAGTTAAACAGCATTTTCTTCAGAAATTGCATCAGGATTTTGAATGTATTTATTAATTAATGGACACATCCTGCTTGGGAAATGCCTCTCTTGCACACATAACACGTGTTGACATCATCATAATGCAAAACTGTTAAACGCAAAATGGAAACTTTATCCTCCTCAAGCACATCTGATATAATAAGCTCTTGGTCTTGAAGAGAAAGCTCAAAGTCTCACAATTTCTAAAATGATTTCAAGATTTGCATTCCACTTAATTCTTTACAGAACACAAGAAAGAATATAAAAAAAATAAGTTTTATGATTCTTTATCTGTCACTTTCAACTAGAGTTAAATACAGACTGTGAGGGATAAATTGTTGTCGCCTAAATTACACAAAAAAATATCTTGAAATACTAAAGAATTAATCGATTCAGTATTATCACCATTGACTTTAACCATTGCCTCCAGATGACTTCAGAATTTCCTGCATCTTTTCTGGATGGTCTCCTTGCTTAAGTTGGTGAATACTACTATAATCCTTTCTTTCATTTCATCTTTGGTATAAGAAATTTTGTTGATCTCCTACTCATCTGTGCCTCGCATATAATATTCAAGGAGATTGCAGTTTAACTGGTTTCTCCTGCTTGTGTGGCATGTTGCAGAGTCCTGTTGCCAAACATAGAGTCTTCCAGCAGTCGCCCTCTTGACCCAGAGAAAAACTACTTCCTCAAGACATGTGATGAGGGCCTCTCTGTTGAGTCTGAGGCCCAGTGCAAAGATGAATAGAAGCATAATGTTGCCATTACTAGTAACCACTCCAAACACCATTGATGTTGACTGGATATATCATTCACCTCTTTCCGAATCCTCTGTTCTCAGACTGACACCCAAACACACTGAAGTGTTTGTATTGAAGCTTCCAGCACAAATGCCAAGCTGTTCAGCATGCCGTTTTCAAATTTCTGGTGGAGTGAATTGCATCAGAGTGCTCTTTTTCTCACAGATGGTGCCCAACTGACCCAACTATACTGTGCTGTCAACAAAATCAAAAATAAACACTGTGCATGCACAAAATTAAAAATATAAAATGGTGATAACTTAACCATCACACTTGCATATATACTGCATGGATGCAAATGTAACATTCTCACACACACACACACACACACACATATATATATATATATATATATTTCCTCTTATACATATATATATATATGTTTAGTTTATTTGTTTAATATATTATTTTTGAGTAGATACTCTCTTTTTGATTGATTTATTTATTTATTAAACAGTATATTTATTTATTTCCATCACCCAGCCTGTGTATTTGAAAAAATCTTGTTAGAAATATATACACCCTCTGGTTGGTTTTGAACCTGCATCCCCTAAATGAAACCATCATTCATTCCAGAGGGCACATATTTTATGCAGAGAGGACATCCAAACATCATGGGACTTGATTTAAAATTTGAATTGAGTATAATTTATGAGATTAAGTCTTACAATCAACTCTTCAAATGATAGTATGTAATGTCTGCAAGACTAGAAATGAGATAAATGAACATCTGATTTTATTTATTGCTATTAATAATCTAGTCCTTGATGTTGAGTACTATAATTACAAAGTTGGCTTTTTTAAAAGTGTTAACTCTACTTCACCATCATTTTTCTGTTAGTAAAATATGGTCGTTTGTTTTACACACACACACACACACACACACACACACACACACACACACACACACACACACACACTAACACACACAAATTTTTTGGCGCATCCAGAATGTGAAAGCACATGTAATACACTGCTCTCATCAGCTGCCAACCAGGGGAGATAACACAGTGTTGGTAGTTAAGACAGTACTGCCACTCATGACACCACCAGCAGCTTTTGCTACCAGACAATTAATTGTCTTTTATGTAACTGTAATGGACCGGTTCCTTGATAGTCCAAGGTAGAACCAATAAAGAAGAACTCGAACACAGCTATGGAATAACACAGATATATTACAAACAGGAATATATACAGAGAAGTAGAAAGTGTTAGTATGAACAATCAGGTTTAGTAGAGAGAACAATGTAGTCTCGACCAGTATCACTATTCCAATGTCTTGCAGTAATTGTCTGAATGCGACTCTGTTTCAGACTGCCTCTGACTCGACTCTTGACTCGACTTGAACTACTGACTCCCCTTGAACTACTGACTGAGGCGCAGTATTTATTAAGTATGGAATAGTCCATTATTATTATTATGGGTAAGATCACATAACAGTAACCATGTCAGTCTTGGCAATTTTTTTACAACTGCATGTCAGATTTTCAATGTTCTGTTAAAAGCGTTTGCTTTTAATTGTTAACCAATACACAATATATGCTCATAGCAACCATTATCAATGATGTAGAATGGAAGGTAAACAGATGTGTTTCATATCAGAAGTAGCATTGTGTTGCGAGCATGGTTTTATTTAACTTTATTTATTTCAAATCATGACCAAATCCAACTTGATGCCTGTTGAGCTGTGGTCAGGAGAGAATGGGAAGAATTCTTCAGGCTCTGGCCAGTAATGCCCACTTTTAAAAGGAAGGAAATGATATTGTAGCGATTTTCATCGCCATCACGCACACATCATACGGCAAGCATTCATTGGCTAATCTCCTCAAAACTAGCTTGCTGATTGGTCAATTCCAACCAATCAGATCGTCTGCATGCAAGGAATAATTTTCCTGTATACAAGGCTGGGAACCTGTCACATGAGACACAACCTTATATAAACAAAACATGAATAAGCTTCTCTCATTCTCTTCATTCATCTTTTTCCTTGCTGCCAAGATGTAGTCTTCAAGAGCTCCCATCTTAACCCTTGTGGTCAGACATTAAAGATCATTGCCAACAACTCTTACTGACTTTTTTGCAAGTCACCAGTAGAGTCCAGCAAATTCTTCCTGTCAACACAAACCTATGACTTTACTCACAACATTTTAAATGCACACACAGACACAGAATTTTGTAATACATATATATATATATATTTATCTGTGACTCAGCCAAGCTCAATCAACCAGGACTCTGTTAATTTCTCTGACGCAACACACTTTCTGATCAATTGTATTCTTGTGTTATCTATTCAAACAAACAGTCCTTTGTCCTAATATTTATTCTTGAACATTTTTCTCTCACGAGAACTTTCTTTCGGACAACCAAATATGAATCAAAATACGTTAAAAAGAAAGGAACTTCTTTTCCCTTAATCTATACATTGCACACAATATTATTGTATATTTCATTCATGTATGTTGTTTCGATATATACTTGTTGATTCACATTTGGTGTTTCGTTGTTGTCTTGAATCATTTATTATACAAAAGTCATACACAGACCAAAGAACTTGCAGCCCCATAATATATATATATATATATATATATATATATATATATATATATATATATATATATTATTTTAATTAAAATTGTTATT